AAAGAAAGTGGATATAATTTATAAATAAAACGGAATAAAAAGAAACAAACTTCCAGACAGAAAAAAAACAAGACTATGGTATATAGTCTTAATGGATCAATAAGATCGTAGCCTGACACGTTATTTATTGAATTTTGATCTGACATTTTTGTTGGATGATATTTGATCTAGGTCAGGGATTCTCAACGTGGTCCAGGTGGATCACCGGCAGTCCACGTAGCATTTCTAGTGGTCCACAGATAATTCGTAGCCATAAAAAAAAAATGTTGCCATTTCTTTCCCTACCACATGGATGGTGGAATCCGGATTTTTGGCTGTTGTGGAAGAAATACATTAGATCTCAACAGCAGAGGAATTATCAGACTAAGACTGAATGGCATCATCAAAATTGATTCTGATATCTTGTGTGAGAAACACCAAGATCAAGGTAGTCACTAGCTGAATAGACGAAAACTGAATGACATCATTAAAATTGATTATGATATCTTGTGTGAGAAACACCAAGATCAAGGTAGTCACTAGCTGAATAGACGAAAACTGAATGACATCATTAAAATTGATTTTGATATCCTGCATTTATCTTTGTTTACTAAAATAAATTTTAAAGTGTAAATAGACTTCTTTGTCTTTTCATTGAGTATTTTAGTGTGTAAATGGAACAGCTTAAAATTCAAAGGAAGTGTAGTCCATTTGAATTTTTTGAAAAAGAAAAATATGGTCCATGGGCTGAAAATGGTTGAGAAGCACTTGGCCCAGTGAATCACATTCACCAGTGGATGAAGTGCATTGACAAGGAGGAAATATATTGAATATAGTTTTCAATCAATTGTAGACTTATTGACGTATACTGCTACCTCGTGGCCAAGACGGTTGCAATTTTATACAGATGCTAGTTGTCAGAGTACATGCTTACTTAAATGCTGGGGCTACAAATACTGATTTTCAAGGCCTCCTGTTTGATGGAACAAATATTTTATTTCACATGCTCCTGAAAGATTCTGTTGACCCCTAAATGCAGATTCTGTGATAAATATCCAAAATCAATTGACCATCTTGTATCAGGTTGCGCAGTGCTATCATCAATTCAATATAAAACTCGGCATGATAGAGTGGGCCAGTACCTGCACTGGAAAATATGCAACTTTTACGGGAAGGAAACTGGTATGAATATCCCCCAGTCCAGGTTACAGATACAGGGTCTGTGACAATTTTATGGGATTTACAATACACACAGTCCGAACAATCAAAGCTAATCGCCCAGACATTGTCATCAAAGACCACAAGAATTGAATGTGCTTTCATATTGACATAGTTATCTATGCAGTTTGTAAGGATCTTTGAAGATCTTCCCAAAACTATCAAAATACAAGGATCTTGAAGATGAAATCTCAAAATTGTGGATCATGGGGGACATCAGTAATTCCAGCTGTAGTTTGTGCTCTCAGATTGATTGGAAAAGATTCCGATAGATTCATTAAAGGGATTCCTGTTAGCCCATACCTTAAATGAATACAAAAAATTGTACTCACATGTACAACTCAAACATTATGAAGATCTTTATGTAAAATATGTGATCGTAGGCTGCTTTTTCTTTTTACAAAAAATGATCAGTGGAAGATGTTATAAAGCCATTTATAACCTTAGGTCTCTAGTTGGGACCCGGAAGGAAATATATATACAACATAAACCCAAGGAAATATGATCATATATCTGTCTACCTAGCGAGCTGACTAATCATAAATTCGTCAAATACCTTTACGAGCGAAAGGCGAATCTGTGCAAATCGAGTAACAGAATTAAAGGAAGGAATTGCAATGAAAGTCAGTCCGTTCATATAGTCAGTCAACAGTTACTTTCAGTTTCTAAAGCATACCGTATGTTGTAGGTCACTACAAGTCTGAGACAAAATTAGTCGACACTAGTTATCTCTACTAAATTTAACACGCTGAAATTTCACGGTTTTCCTATTTGAATTTTTTGATGAGTCTTAATTACACAGTTAATGATTGAATACGCCCATTGCGAGTTCTACGACAATAAAAAATACCCGTAGAAATTCTCATCGTTAAATATTTGAGATTAACAACAAAATATTGCAACAACAATCATAAATATGAATGCTGGTTCATAGTATAAGAAGTAAGGGGATACAAATGAAAAGATTTGAAATTGACAACTTTTTTCCTATTTCACTGAAAATAATGTTAAACACATCTTCATTTTTTCATTTTATAACTGAAACCAAGTAGCGTCTTTGATATGAGTTTTGTCTTCTCACGCTGTTAAAAAAGAATAGTCCATTATTCATGAGATATTAACAGGCGTTAAACATGTCTTTCTTTCTTTCTTTCTTTCTTTCACTGAAACCTCGTAACGCCTCTGATATTAGGTTGGTGCAAAAATAATGACGTAATAATGTCGTTTTTGACGTTAAAAAATACATCAAAAAACGACATTATTACGTCATTATTTTTGCACCAACCTAATATGTATTTTGCCTTGTCACGCAATCAAAACGGAATAGTCCATTATTTATGAGGTATTAGCAGGAGACATTAAACACGTCTTTCTTTCTTTCTTTCTTTCTTTCTTTCTTTCTTTCTTTCTTTCTTTCTTTCTTTCTTTCTGTTCAATGAAAGCAAGTCGTAGCTCTGATATATCTTGTCTTTCCACACGATCAAAATAGAAGAGTCCATTATTATGAGGTATTGGCGTAATGGTCAAGCGCACTAACGAATGGCGGAAAAGCACAATTGTAATAGAATGCCACTGATATAATTAGAGCAATCTTTAATGACAAGAGACGGTCGAAACTAAAGGAAAAATTACGAATCTCGGGGCGTTTAATTTTCACAAATTTGATTCGGATTTGTGACAGTATATACGCAGACTAGAATAATGTGATCAGATATTGAATAGATGAATCTCATCTATGGATTTTAATGAAACTCCCATGAATTAGTTCTTGCTGCTTAAGTATACTCCATATATAAATTTGTATATGTGTCCTTGCTACCTTAGTATACATCATGCAACAGACTGTTCCCTCTGGATGTTGACTTTAATGTCAAGTTTTATATTTACATACGCTCTATCTCTGATATTGAGCACTTTAACCCATAAGTATAGCATATCTGAAAACTATATTTTATCACACACACAGGCATATATATATATATATATATATATATATATATATATATATATATACCGGCAGACTCTTATTGAGTCTTTACGACCCTCAGACTAAAAAGATCATGCCATGCATATTCATGCATATTTCAACTGTGCATCCGTTCCTAATTAATGTAGAATTGAATTCAGCATACCATTCGCTTAGCGGCTATTGATATATCATAGATGTTATCTAGGGTAGAAGACATCTGATGTATTAACAACACTTTTCTTTGAAGAGTGCCAAATAACTTGTTCGAAATAAAATATTATGCACTTTTCATTGTAATTATTTCAAACAGGCCATAGTCTCATTCTTACCGCATTTTTCAGAGAGGGGGCTGTAGTGTTCTTACTTTTAAAATTCAGCCCAAATGACCAAACATAATTATATTTTCACTTGCTTGAAACATCTATCTATCTATCTATCTATCTATCTATCTATCTATCTATCTATCTATCTATCTATCTATCTATCTAATGAAAATAACCATTGAAGCAGTTATAAAGCGACAAACAAGTTGATCGGTAGGATGAACACAAGATCTAAGATATATATATATATATATATATATATATATATATATATATATATGTGTGTGTGTGTGTGTGTGTGTGTTCAGACAAAGGAAAGCACAGTTCTACTGAAGTAGTGTCTCACTGAACACACACACACACACACACACACACACACACACACACACACACACACACATATATATATATATATATATATATATATATATATATATATATGGGTTGAATCAAAAGGTCTGTAACTTAGCTGTTCAGATAGTTGAAGAATTTTGATCTGAATTTGATATCAATATATTATCTAAGAAACTATATTAAAAATATACATTTGTTGCGCAAAATAAATGCATTTTCGTCATTAGAATTTGGTCATATATATATATATATATATATATATATATATATATATATATAATGATGTGTGGATAATTGGACGTTGTGTTATTGTTAGCAAGTTTGACTTTCTAGATCAATTACGACTTATTGCCTTGTATCACATCTAAGGCACTCTTAGTAAAAATATATATATATATATATATATATATATATATATATATATATACAATACTACACCGTATGCATTGTAAAGAATGACTCAAACTACTCGATGTTATTACGAAAAAGAAACAAGTCGCATTAAAATAACATATTTCACCACAGGAGACGGCATTTATAAAATATTTCAAGTTTCTATAAAATAATTATAATATGCATGAAATATTTAATAAACTCATTTCCCCCGTTGTCCAAACTCTGTTCTATGTATGACGTCATTCACATGGACGACATTGAAACAATTTGGAAAAACAAAGAAAAAAAGAATGAAAACATGAACATTGGAAGGTTTATCCACAAAACTGTGTTTGTGCGTGTGTGTGTGGGTGTGTGTGTGTGCGTTTCTATTGTTTAATAGTGTCTCATGCGAAAGAATCGTTTGTAGATATGGACATAGAGTCAGAGTGTACACAGGAATCAACACTGCATGATGTCTGTCAGTTTCACGCCATGGTTTGAACGACACTACAGCCGTGAAACCCTCTCTCGCTAGCATTGTTGCCAATGTTCATCATCGCTCATTCTATCTCTCTCTCTTGCTATATATATATATATATATATATATATATATATATATATATATATATAATATGTGTGTGTGTATCTTTGTGTGTGTATATAATCTAATCTCTATCTCTCTTTTATATATATATATCTTTCTCTCTCTCTCTCTATATATATATATACATTCTCACTCTCTCTCTCTCTCTCTCTATCTATCTATCTATCTATCTATC